TGTGGAATCAAAAGGGAAACTGTCAGACCCTATCAAGTAAGAGTAAATTGATGCAAAAATGTCACAGGCATCTGTATAAGCCCGTTTCTGTTGCTTGTAACAAAATACTTGGAACTGGGTGATTTGTAAGAAGACAAAATGTATTGCTTACAGTTTCAGAGGCTGGGAAGTCCAAAGTCCAAGGAACACATCAGGTGAGGGTCTTCTTTGGCGGTGGCTTTACAGCAGTGCAGGGGTCTCACATGGCAGAAAATGGTGGACCAGAGATAGAGAGAGTTCCTCCTGTGCTCTCTCCTTTTAAAGTCCACAGAGGCGTGCCCATGACCACCATTAAACCATCAACTTAATCACCTTCTCAAGGCCCCATCTTTCATCTACGATAATAGGATTTCCCACTCTCACCAGTTATAGTGGGGATTAAGCTTCTAGTATATGGACTTTGGGGGACACACTTCAGTCCATCCACAACAGCATCTTTGACACAAAGGACTTAAGAAAGAGTCATCCACATTTCAGCGGAAATCCTTTGGTGGTGGCTGCCTCCCCAGAGCTAGGACAGGGACTTTGGCTGAAGGACAGCCTAGGACCTTTGGGTGTGGTGGCTGAGCTGGGCAGTGCTGAGGCCCAGAGGGTCAGCAGAGGGTGAGGGAGGATAAGCAGTGGGGGCTGCCCTCCCTGCTTTAGATTCAGTTGATATTTCCTAATGAGGTTGCAGCTCTCAGCAGATTATACCATCATCCGTTTGCTCACTCCTGATGCCTACAGGTCACTCTGGACCCTCCTTTCACCTTCTCACCATGTCGCTTCTGACTCATCTGTCTGCTTCTCCCCGTCCCACCACCCCACCTCAGGGGGCCACCATCTCAAACCTGGATGGCAGCTTCAGCTTCGTGAACTGGCCCTGCAACTCCCCAGCCTCCCCCCATACTAAGCATGCACCTCCTTGCATCACAGACCCCACTTGCACGGGCCTAACCTCAGGCCCTTCCACCTGCCATTGCCCTTTACCTTACCACAGACAGCGCCCTCTTCCTTCAGTAAATCATTTCTTTGTGTCTGACTAACTCCTGATTAACTCCACTTCCAGGTTTTATGACAACTTGATGAAGTTAGTATTATTAGTCCCCCAGTAATGCCAATAAGACATGGACCAGGGATTTGAACTCATGTCAGGTGGTCTAGGGCAAGTAAAAAGCTGAGCATAGAGTAGGTAAGGCTGTCGGGCAGGGTGCCAGGCAGCAACTGTAAGGGAGAAATCTCCAGTGGCATCAGCCAAGAAAGGCTGCAAGGATCTCATGGTGACCCTGTTCTGCGCCACGATCAAGGAGTTGTTTGTTTGAGGGGAACAAAGCATGAGTTGGGGTAAATCAAAGTCTATAAGAAGAGTAAAATATGTGATTTATTTCAGCTTCATGTAAAAAATGGAGATCATATGAAAGGGGCACGCATGCTTATTCGGGTGGCCAACAACATTAGCAAGTTTCCGTCACGTAAGTACTGTCCGAAGAGAGCTCGTCGTCCACATTTCTGCATCAGTATGAACTCTCTACTCACCGACTCCACCAGCCCCTGTTCGAAGCTCTCTTCATACACTCGCATTCACTCATTTAATCCTCACAACAGCCCCATGAGGTGATATGTTCAGGGCCCCAAGACCACCCCCAGGTTTGATGATTCACAGACTCAACGCACAGTAGTACTAAAGTCTAGGATTTATTACAGCAAAACTATATGAAGCAAAATCAGCAAAAGGCAAAGGCGCATGAGGTGAGGTTTAGAAGAAACCAGGCACAGGCTGGAGTCACACAGCACACAAGTTAAGCAACTCCTCCAGGAGTGAGCTGAGATGGCATGTGTGAAGTGTTGTGTACCAGGAAGCTCATTAGAGACTCAGCACCCAGGGCTTTATTGGGAGCTGGTCACGTAGGCACAACTCCTCCAGGAGTGAGCTGAGATGGCATGTGTGAAGTGTTGTATACCAGGAAGCTCATTAGAGACTCAGCACCCAGGGCTTTATTGGGAGCTGGTCACGTAGGCACCCCTTGCCTTGCATGTGCCCGATTTTCCAGGCTATCAGAAAGCAGGTGTTCAGCATAAACCACATTGTACAAAGATTTTAGACACAGTGAGCCATTCTTATCAGTTCTGGTGGGAACCCTCCCCAAATCCAAGTTCCCAGATGCAAGCCAAGGGCCAA